ACCAATTACGCGGATTTCTTGTTGACGATGAGGTTAGTTGGATCGTAATAAGAAGAATTAGTGCAGCCATTCAGAGACGAGACTGACCCCCTTTCGACACGATAGGGCTCTCACAGGATTAGGTTGCCAAAGCAGAATATCTCGACAATCCAACATTGGGCGCGCACTCAGGCGCTATGTCTGTGCACGATCCGTACAATCAAATGGAATAGCTAGTCAATTGCCGAACGAGTGAAAGTGCAACTACAGCCTCAGTCTGCCTTCATGTATCAAGGAGTGTCCTATCACAATCACACATTCGATCCCTCGCTCTCGTCGAACTTGCCTCTCGACGTCTTACTCATCCCAAACTGCCTCAATGACGCTCATCTTGCAATTCTCAACTCTCTGGACTCCCTAACAAAGTGTTAGCAACCGCACACGGGCAGGAAAGAGAAATGTAATGGCATACCTTGAACTTGAACCTAGGGTCGGCTGCTTCAAACAACTCGCGAAACTCCCATTCTTCTCGCTCCTGTGCGTTCAAGATCGCCCCCATAATCATGTCCATGTTCCTCAAGAGCTTCTCATCCCATGCATTCTCCGATCCAGCCTCACGGATACAGTAATCGTTGATGATGACGCGAGCTCCCGGCTTGAGTGCGGGGATGAGATTCCGAAGAATGGAAACGGCGTATGGCTTGGCGTGATTGTGAATAATCCACCGAAAGAAGTAGACTAGCAGTGTTTTTGGGAGTCAGTTGACCATGGACGAAGATGTAGGTGAGAGGAAATGAAGAGCAACTTACCATCGGCACCCTTCACCGGTTGCTCCTGGAAGAAATCATGGGCTTGTAATGAGATTCTGTCTGCCACAGTTTTGTCATCGGAGATGGGTTGTGGAGCAGACTCTATGGTTTTTGGCAGATCTTCCACGATGAACTTCATGTTCTTCCACCGTTTGGCCAGCTCCACGGATACGAAGCCATGACTACCGCCAATATCGACGAATGTGCCCCCGCGCTTATCGACTTCGGAAAGGTCATAGTTGTCCACAAAGTAACTTACTTTGTAGCCCTCTCCATGGGAAAAGCTGTGCATCGCTTGGGCGAATCGCTTAGCTCTGGCCAGATCTTTGCCAAGGGTTGCAAACATAGGTTCTTGGCCAACCGTGTTGAAAGCATAGTTGAACCCTGCATGTGTACTAGAGATTGCCTGCGGATGGTCCCTCAAGGCTTGCAGCACATGACCGGCAGCAGGAAAGACGTCTTCCGAATTGAAGCCAACCCAGGCCTGAAGAGCGGGATCCTGTGCTAGTATCCGTGAACTTGAGGTATGGGCGATGTATCCCGGGGACGGCTCGCGGAATATATTGTTGGTCATTGCGTGGCGCAAAGCACGGGCAAGATGGACAGGCTCCAGCGGAGTCTTGGATTGCAGCTCGGTCAGCTTGATGGGAGCATCCAGGGGGACGAGCTTGGCTATATGACAGTCAGCGATGCTCAACTGTAGAGGCAGGTCCTTCAGTACCAATTCCATAGCTGTTGATGAGTTGCAGGCTCAAGGTATCCAGATACTATCGAGTTGCATTAGCATGAAAACGAGACTGCTGGAGGATATAATATTTCTTACACTCCAAACGGCATATCGCACAGTTTCACGAGGACCCCTGACAATATCGGTAAGTTCCCGAGAAGCGAGAAAGATCTTTTGTCTGCTTTCTTGAATCTCATTGGGTAAAGTTGGGAAGTCGTCCGGTGCATCAACGCTGAGGTCTGGTTGAGCTATACCGTTGGACTCGAGATAGGCGTGCAGCTTCTGGGTCTCAGCTCGGATCGTCTCCGCCAGCACAAGCATCCGAGACTCTGCAGACCCTGTCTTTTTGGTTCCATTCTGGGACAATTGATTAAGCTTTTGCTTGTCGACATCCGTGTTTGATGCTGACCCGTTGCGTTCGGTCGACAGCGACGACGGAGCTCTGAGCTCGGCCATTGTATACAAAGGTGGAGTGGACGGAAGGGTACTGTACGGAGAGGTAGTTAGAAGAAGATATCAGATAACGAACAACGGTAGTTATAGGAACAAAAGCAATGATCAAGGGCAAAGATTGGAGATCTTATAAATGTGCTCGTCTAGATTCGCAACCGATCTGTAGTCATGGCGCTTTGTCAGGTGTCCATCTCAGTGTAACCCAACACTTGACATCCCGTCGGCCCCAATGAGGGATCGAAGCAGTAGCGCATTCAGCAACAAGCATGTTGCCAGATCAGAGTCATGTCGTTCTGTCCTGCCGGGAGCCGGAAGTTAGGAATCCCGTTAAGGAGTCCACGACCATGCAGATGCGAGCCGCGCGGTTCATGGAATCAACCTGACCATTGTCCATGGCGATCTTCGACTTGCCCCATTGAGGCATTGGTGTCAATGATGTCCGATATACTGATCCAATAACCGAGACCCCGAGACCCCGAGCTGCCGCTGTCAAGCAGATGCTCTTACGACTTCCGTGGACTTGCATATCAGATGCGTCCCATGTCCACGGGTCTCAGAGGCGCATCTGAGCAGTAGGTCCACCACGGCGAGGGGACGGAACTCTGTGAAGCGAGCGTAAAGCCGAGTATTGCACATATTCCAGACCCCACGATCAAACCCCGTTATGGGACAGTCGATGTATTCTGCGGAACAGGGCCATACCAAGGAGGATGTGCCCCTGAGGGACCCTTCCGTTTGGCAGTCCGGGATCCACTTGGACCGCAGGATTCCTTTTGTTCGCTTTCTATTCTGCTTCTGCTAGAATGCAGTCGCTGAAGTGGCTTTTCAGGTATTGCAGAGAGAGTTGATGCAGTGTTCTCGACATTGAGCAGAGGGGAAAGGTGGAAGTTGAAGGAAACCAAGAGGAAGCAAAATGATGTCAGATAGAGCAAGGAAAGGCAAGTGCACATACTAGTTAGTACCTTGACTGTGCAAGTCCGCCTGAAGTTCATTCCGCAACACAGCTATCACCCTAAAACTGGAAAGATGTCTGGTCCCTCTTGCGTAAGGTGAAGCAGCGAGGCGATGTGTCGTATTCTTTTCCGTCAAGCTCAATTCTCTCTCCCCTGCCCTGTTGCCGCTTCAGGTATAGAGAGTCTTTGATCAGAACCTTTGCCGCCTCTCCTGTTTCTGCTGCTGATGATGTCGCCGTCGTCGGCCTCGCTGCTCAAGGAATCCGATACGGCCACGGAGAGAAAGAGGAGCGAGAGCGAAGGCGGGACGAAAGCGGAATATGAGGAAGAAGAAGAGGGGCTGTGAGGACCAGGATGAAACGGCGAACGCAAGTCTCCTTCAAGGAGGCTCAGAGCAATGCAATCAAACTAACCCGGAGCCTAGAGGACTCAGCTGCAGCTCTTTTGCACCGGCTGGCATTACTACGAGCACTGCCTACTACTACTACTCCATACTACTACTGCGATGCTACTGCTACGACGACCACGACCAACGTACCTCGTGCTCTATATTCCGTATCCGTCCCAATGGCCGGCCCTCTCCGCATCCAAGCCGCCGTGGACCCGGGTCGATCGACG